CCCCCCGTCACGGCAGCCAAGGGGACGGTCTCTAACGTTAGCTGGAAACGGCTCCGAAGAGCAGGGTGGGAAGAGGATACAGAAGCCTTCCAGTTCATCCCAGTTGCCTCAAGGAGAACCAGCTCCTTGGCTCCCAACGGGCATCTGTCTGACCTACTCTTACCCCACAGTGCCGGAGGGTCCAGCCTCGAGCCCCCAGCACTCCACGGACACCACACGCACAGGCTCCAGGGCTCGCTGTCACCAAAGTCCCCTTTTACCCAAGGCCCAGCTCCAGAACAAAGCAGACAAGACCTTCCCGTGTCGTTCTCGTACATTTACAAAACTGGAAGATACAGGAGAAACCGACTTCCTCCACTTAACCAGCCTCACCTGGTTTAAGGTACCGCTTTACAATCAGCTCATTCTGCTGTTGATCTCTTCCAGCAATAATAAGGTAATTCTCAGAACTAATGAACCACAGGAACTTCTCAAACCTGCCAAATTACATCAATGCATTGTGTGAAAAACACCTGGAACTAAGAGAACACTACAGAGGTATTTTTTTTTTTAATCCCAAACTTTGAGAAGATCCATCTTATCGACAGCTTACAAAAGACACTGCAAACAGTTTCACACCCACCCATATGCCTGGAGCATAAAAACAAGGCATGGTACAAACACAACACCGCTGCCAACGATATTCTGAGATGAAACAACAAGTACCAGCACCACAAAGTCCTCCTATTTATTTCTGTTTTAACAATTCAGTTATTAGACTATAAGAAGCTTTGGTTTTTTGGGTTTTTTTTTAGATCTACTGTTACTATTTCAGATATTGAGCTACAGAAAGCAACAGTGAAGTTCCCTGTTTTCACCAAGCCCGTATTCCTAGCGGTGTTACAAGGAAAAAACTCAGCTGAACTACAAGTCCATGTCCACCGAAAGGAACCTTCCCAGGCAAAGGCACTAACAGGATCAGGCCAGCACCTTCACGAAGCAGCTGTAAGGGGACTCGATACAAAGCACAGCGCTTCAAAATCAGAATTAACTCCACTTTGAAGCTCGTGAAGACTCAGTCATTCCAAATTTGCGCTGTACATTAGACAAGGACAATGGAACTGTACTTGCCAATAGACCTTCCGCGCTTTCTGGATGGTGGTAACGGTCTGAACTTCCCTCAGCGTCTGCTTCGTCTTCTTCTCGGCCGATTTAAATGCCTATTTATCAGAAAGCACCATCACAGGAGTCACAAAATTGCTAAGTGAACAGTAGGAAAAGTCTCCGAATGTTTTCCAGACCTGGGCACCACATACTGCTCTCTGCAGGCCGGCATTCCCCTCGGGCACAGGGAAGACAGCTGCCCTAAAATCTTCAGAGCTCTCCACCCTGGAGAGCTGCCCCCTGAGATTATCAGCTCCTCGACTATAAGGGTTTCCACTGACTGTCCCACTCCTGCCTCTGTGAGTACTGGTCTGTCAGCACCTCCACCAAGCGCCCAGCTCAGTGTCCACAGTGCCACTGGTGGAAAGCAGAAGGCACAGCAGGGACCTGCAAGCCTCTGCTCAGCTCAAAAGCTCCAGAATGCAACAACCCTGGTTGGTTGGTTTTAGCTTTCGTGTCTCCTTAGGGCTGCTTAGCCCAGGATTTGCCAGTTACCAGAGACAGGGACTTCTTAAATATCTTCTAAAGGCAAAGAAAAAAATACCTTTTCTGCAGCTTCTACGGTCTTCTGTGTTTTCTTAGCTGCATGTCTTTTGTGATCATAGTACCTGCGAGAGACAAGTCTGGCTGTAGCTGAAATCCCAGCAGATTCACTCATTTTTACAATGTACTTATTGGGGTCCGCTACATTTGCTGTCAAGCATTGGGTTGAGGGATTTTTTTAAGCCCAGCTCTTTGGCTTAGTCTTCACTCGAGAGAAGCAGCCAGAGGACGTAAGTCCCCTCCCCAGACCGACCGAGCACTGGGTTGGGTTACAGCAAAAGCAGCCGCTTTATTCCACGTGTCACTGGGCAGAACTGTACTCAAAATTAAATTAACGTGACAGCTCCATATCCAGTGAGATACTGGTTTTGGAGCAAGAAAGGGCACACCCTGGAGCTGAGGGCAAGCTCCCTGCTTCAATGTCTAACTTTTCTTTTAAAGAAGATATCCAGGGAGCCCTTCCTACGGTGTTATCGCTACCAACCGCGAGCTCACAGCAACCCCTCCTACCAAGGCCCACGTTCACTGTGCACCTCACTTTTTGGCGTTGGCGTACGCCGACAGACTGAGATCGACATCGACCAACGACGGTTTGTTTTTCTGAGGTTTCTTCAACGGTTTGGTTTTGTTCTTTTTCTTTTTTCCCTTCGGTTCTTCCGTTTCTTCTTTCTCCAAAGCAGCATCCTCCTCCTCCTCTTCCTCTTCAGATAACACATATGGGTTCCTAAAAAACACATGACATCATATCATTAAGATAAGAGAACTGGTTGTTTTTCAGCCCTAGTGCAGTGCACTCTTCTGTTCTCTCACCAAGACTGGAAATGGCCTAAGGAACCTTTAAACCATTTTCACTGTGCAGCCACAGGAAGGCCCCAGGATGCCTTACAGGCCACCTCTTTACATCCTGGAGTCACCCAAAGTTTGGGGGGGCAAAGAAAACAAAACCAGAAGATAGAGTCCCAATTTTCCACTCCAAGGCAGTGAACCTTTCCCAAGGCAATTTCTCCCACCGAAAGGCACACATCCGTGCGACCAACCCAGAGGAAAACCTGGGCTCAAAATGAAGAACCGTTCCAAAGCTCCACGTTCATCGAGGGAAGGAACCACAAACCGTTCTGGGCGTGATGGCTGCGTGAAAAGAGAACAGTCACACCATCAGACTGACTCGCTGAACAGGGCAGAGCTGGTTTAAAACCCCCAAAAGCATCTGCTCCGCTCTTTTCCAGCGCCAGCTGGATGTGCCTTTGCTTCTCACCAGGACATTAAATCCTGCTCAGTACAGCTGCGCTGCGTCTGTGGCAAAAAGGTGAAGGAGCAGCACGAAACAAAACCCATCTCCGCAGTCCCCTGTACTAAGGGGGTATGATCCAGGGCTGCCTGAGCGGTTTGATCAGCTACTAAAACGGATAGAGGGAGCCTGGGGACACAGTTGCCAACGCAGAACTCCCTCCTGAGTTTATTCTACACACAAAAAGCAAGTTTATTCTACACACAAACACTCCTGAAAGGGAGGTAATTAAAAATTCATGAATTAACTCCGCTGCATTACAGCTTCCATACCCAAAGCTCTAGCTATACAAATGAAATCCTTGCTTTTTTTCTCTCTAATGTCCGGATCCAGTGTCAGATCCGGTTGTTAAAGACGCTCCAAATAGTGGCCTCACTGCCAGCTCCCTCATCAGGACTTGTAGGAGAAGCAGCATCAAAACCCGCAGCTCACAACAGCCGCGATCTCGAACCACTGGCCTCCCACTGCGCTGCCATCAGCAGCACGGAAAGGGGCAGGATCTCACGGGAGTTTTTGATCAAAGAAGAGCAAATCAGAGGGAGGCGACTGCTGACTGACAGACTGGAGCTTTGTGGTCAGACAGACTCTAAAAACACTAAACCAAAGGCAGTACAGTAACCAAACTACTATTATTTTTCAAAGCAAAAGAGAAGGCACCCTCTTCGCTCACAGAACTATGTTCTTTCCACGCTGCTGCAAGAAAACCGGAGCAATTTCAACACCAAGGCACAAGCTAAAGAGATACCCGTCTCCTACCCAGCTCACCCAGGCCTACCTGCAGGTGGTACCCGCGACCGTGCTCACCTCAGCAGCATCGTGATATGGTTTGTCTGAAGCTTTAATTCTTTGATCGCGCTTGCGACGGGGTCTCCCTGCGCTTGAGCCTCTTTCACAATCGCTCCGATCTCCGTCCAGTCGATCTGGTTGGCTAACGCGCTGCGGACCACCTGGATGGCTCGGTCAACCATCTCCAAGTTCATTTCGATGAGTTCTCCTTTCAGCTTGTCAGCTTCCTTAAGGGAAGGAAAAAAAATCTCTACCCGTTGGAGCTAAACGGACAGCTTTAAAAAGAATACAAGCAGTAATTCATGGGGAGACGCAATCCAGGCACGGGGCTGAAGTGATCGCACAGGGCAGTGGCCAAGGCGACTCCTGCGAGCAGAGCGGCACCGGCAAGTTCTGGCACGAGAGGTACAAAAGAGCGGAGCTCCTCTGGGCAGGCGCAGGCTCCCTGAGGGGCTACAGGTGCTCAGCGACACGGAAGGCTTCACTTTGGGATCTAACCGGAGCAATGGGGACCAGCAGACACAGATCCTCAAGAAACACCATGTCTCTTAGTTAAAAAAAATAAATCTGTCTTACCTGAGCTTGCTGCAGAGCTTCTAGTCTGTGCTCGTGATCCCTACGGACGTTTTCAAGTTTCTTCAATGCTTGTTTTTCCTTTCAAATATAAGAAAGATGGAAAAAAAATATATATACAAGTGGTATCTTATCACCTGATCCCTGCCAGACGTTCAACAGAGCATTCCAGCACCGTAAGAGACGCCGTCTCCAAAGTATTGTTGTTAATGTTAACATTACTTAGAATTCTAAGCAGAACCAACTGCTACATCACACACACTGAAATCCTGACCACCACGGGCTCAGCGCTTCCGTAGCAAACCCAAGGAGCGACACCTCCCTCACCCCAGGCGACAAGAACCAACGGAAGCACGGGATGCTCGGAGAACCCCCTCAGCTGCCCCGCTCTCGGATGGGAGCATACCTGCTGCAACGCCTTCAGATCAATTTTCTGTCCCTCCAGCTTGGAGTAGAACTCGTCGGCTGCCTGCAAGAGAAAATCAGACTGAAGAACCTCCAAGTGGCACTAACTTACACCAGCCACCAGCAGGCAGAGGAGGCTCCGCTCAAGAGAAGCGGCTGCAAAGCACTACAAGAGGAGACAGATGCTAACGCAGGGTTCAGTAACTTCCTCCATTTTACCTTCGCACAGAGGAGTTCAGCAAGACACTCCAGGATACGTCTCGCTGCGAAGGAAGGGCTACAAACCAGTACACGAGTGGCCAAACTGTGGCCCACACTTTTGGCTAAGAAGTGATGGAAAGGAAGCTGCTGTTTGGTACCGTGTGCTCTTCAGATTAAAGGATTGCAATGATTGATAGACTCGTCC